TCGCCAGAAATGGCGTCTGCCAGTGTTGTTAAATAAGGTTTGTAAAAGGCCTCTTCGTGGGCGTCAAAACTAGGGGTGTGCGAATAATGGATTGAATCGAATAGCGCAGTGTCATCCTATAGCATCAACAGCGCAAAAAGAGCCGGTTGCATCGGCTTTCCTTTGCACCGCAAAGGCTATGGACGAGATCCGATTTGAACAACTATTCGCACACCCCTAGTCAAAACGCCTTACAGGCTGCATCAAAATTTTTTTTCTACTATTTTGTTTTATTGTTTTTCTTCTTTCTGCAGGCTGAAACATACCCCCCCCCCCCTTTCCCCTCTCCCGATTCCATATCGGCTTTTGCATTTTCATGTATTAACGGAACAAAAAAATATTTTCACATCAAGAAAAAAAAAAAAGGAAGTTTTTGGGCATTGTTATACACAGCGCGAAGTAGTCCTTACGAGATTTGGTTGTCGGAGGAAAAAACGATGCTTTTGGTGTTTGGAACGTGTACGTCTTGATAAGAAAACATATATTTAATCTAAAATTAACCTGCATTTAACTTAATTATCAATATAAAGGGGGAAATTAGTAATGCTCCGCGAGGAGCCGGACCTCTTTTACTACGGTTCTCCAAGTGAAAACCAGTATAGACATTTAATATCGACATCGGACATATACAGCAGATGTTCATCTTTAAGCGTAATGCGCAATAATAAGTTGATGTACAAAGTAAGTTTAGTGCACGTGATTACAATTTTCGAGAACGGCAGACACGCCTCCCGTCAAACTTCCAAGGGAACCCAAGAAGTTGTGTGGCGAAAAAAATTAACTATGTCTCTTGTTTAGTGGCTCTTTCTGTCCATTAGAATTGAGCTGTCTTTGAGACTTTTCTGTGATTATGTCGTTCTTTAGAGAGAGAGAGAGAGAGAGAGAGAAAACGTATTGGGGCAAAGTTTTTAGAGCGCAGCTCTTAGGGGCCCGTTCCCGGCTTGAGCGGCGTCGGCGTCGGCGTCGCCGTCGGCGTCGGCGTAACCGCAACCCTCGTAACCCTCGTGAGGGTTACGAGGGTTAATCTCATGAGGGTTACCCTCACGAGGATCACGAGGGCCACGAGGGTTACTTACCCTCGTAACCCTCACGAGGGTTACGAGGGTTAGTAACCCTCAAAAGGGTTACCTTCACGAGGGTTACCCTCACGAGGATCACGAGGGTTATGAGAGTTACGCTCACGAGGGTCACGAGAGTTACCCTCACGAGGGTTACTAGGGTTACCCTCACGAAGGTCACGATGGTTATCCAGGTCACGTGACCCCCCCCCCCGGGGTTACGTGACCTGGGGATACCCCCGAGGTCACGTGACCCCCCGTTGTCGTCATAGCCACTGATGACGTCATCAGTGACGTCACTGATGACGTCACCGGCATCCCCATCGTCATCATCACTGATGACGTCATCGGCATCGTCACGTGGTAGCAGGTCACGTGACCCCCACGACGTCACGTGACTCCCACTAGGTCACGTGACTCCCCCAAGGTCACGTGACTCCCCCAAGGTCACGTGACTCCCCGCCCCCCCCAGGTCACTTGACCCACCCCCCAGTACCCTTCCCTCCTCCTCCTCAAGAGCTGCGCTCTAATTCGGCGTTACAGGGAGTTGTAAACGGCTTTCATTTTTTGTGTTAAACCAAATACTTTACGAGGGGCTAAAGTATTTGGTTATACCTTCAACAGCTCGTTTACCCCCTCGTTTTTTTTTTGTTTTTTTTTTAGAGCTCCTTTTTTTTAACGTATTGCGGCGTAAAGGTATCTACTTAGGGTGTCTTTCTTTCTTCTTTCTTTTATGTCTCACCTAGGCCGTTGAAGAGTTTCCGCACGTGCGTAGCCGACATGAGACGGCGGCTCCGGAGAAAGTCCGCCAAGACTCCTGAGAGGGCACCGGACCCGATGGCGCCCAGGTACGGCAGCGAAGAGTACAGTCCGTTCTGGAAACAGTTCACACCGTGGTTGGCCGAAGCACCAATGTACAAAACAAATAAATGTATCGTGGTTGAGCCACCCTTCCACAAAAAGGTCTTCTGGCTGTATAATGAAGAGGTTTAGACAGGTACGAGTTCCCAAAGCGTTGGAGCCCCTATACACCAACTCATGTTTACAAACAAACCGGAGCGCCCCTAGCGGACGCCACCGGCGCCGCGCATGCGCGGTGGATGGTGGGCAAGAAGCCCGCCGTCGCCCATAAACAAACCATTGAATTGCGTTGTTGTCGGCGTCGGCGGGAGTCCCCGCGCTATTTTTCACGTTGGAATTGCTGATTCTACGTCCTCCTAACAATGTCTGACTACTTGAACGGCTTCAGCAAAACTATCGAGGCAAAACTTTGCGTGAATAATGTGACGTGCGGCGATTCATTTCACGTGGACGCCGCAGAATGGGCGCTAAAGCCTGACTCCCACGATGAGATTCTGCTCGCTATTTTCAGTCGCGACGTCGCTCGGACTGCAAAAGCGTGGACCGTAGCTGAGATGGTGGACATCGATACGGAAAACCGCAAGTAGAATCGGGCATTACAAGTCGGTGATGGCCACTGGTAACAATGATCAACAACTTCTTGTATCTGTTTACACTTAGCCGACTTACCCCAACCAACCTTCAAAAGTGTTTTGAGGCCTGCACTTAGTTCTTATCGCAATTGCCGGGTCAACGTTTGGTTTACGGGCCGCTGTCGTTTGAACGAACTGACGACAAAAAGCAGCCAAGTTTGAAAGAGCAGACGACAGTTCGAACGCACGCGCAATGGAGTACGGGCAAGAAGCACCGCGTCCCGCGTCAACAAACCATTCGAATGTCACGTTGTCGGCGTCTGTGTGAGTCTGCATACTCTTTTTCGCGTTGGAGTTGTCGATTCTACGTCCTCATCGCAATGTCTTACCACTTCAATCGCCTGAGCGAAATTATCAAGGCTCGTTACGCCGCTAAACTTTCCGTAAATAATTTGACGTGCGGCGATTCATTCGCATGAACGCTGCAGAATGGACGCCAAAACCATGATGAGATTCTTGTAGCTATTTTCGGTCACGACGTCGCTCGTGCTGCAAAAGTGTAAAAGGTAGCGGCGATGATCGACGTCGATACTGAAAATCGGAAGCGGGAACAGACCAAGCGTAACAAGTAGGCGATGGCCACCGGTACCAATAATTAACATCTTGTATCTACTGTTTACACCGAGCCTACTTAAGTCTTTTGAGGCCTGCAATTACTTCTTATTGCAATCACCGGGTCAAAGTTTGGTCTACGGGCCGCTTTTGTTTGAACGAGCAGACGACAAAAAGTAGATAACTTTGAAAGAGCAGACGAAAGTTCGAACGATCAGGCGGCCGTGTGAATTTGAAGACGCACTGAATCCGTGGGTGGTCCGGACAACTTGGGGGTTTTCTCTCGGTCATGTTGGAACAAATCAAATACATCTGGTGACTACAAATTGTGGCCCGCACACGCAATCGTAGTTCGACAGCCTCAGGTTTGCCCTTTTCACGGCTGCTATCCATGTTCTCGGGCGAACGGAGGGTGCAAAAACACATGAAAACTGATCTTCAAACTTTCCCAGACTCTCTTGGTAAAGCCCCCATCGCAGCATTTGGACGAGAAGGCAGGTTTTTTGTCTCGTTTCTTTCAAGGGAACACAGGAATGCATGTCTGGCACGGCGACTTCTGCCCACCGCCCCAGACCGGAAGTGCGTCCGGCGCGCCACCACCGCGGCGTGACGTAGGAGAGTTGAGTTGGTGTATACTTAAAATTTACAGGAGGGCGTTTATTCACAATAGAAGCGGATCCGCGTTCGCAAAGCGGTTGCGAACGCGTTTGTATAAAGGTCCAGTACAATTGCACGCGCACTCGATGACATCAAGTGCGCGTGCAATTGTATTGGACCTTTATACAACCGCGTTTGCAATCGCTTTGCGAACGCGGATCCGCTTCCAGTGTGCACGAATGAGCGGTATAAGAGTGGAACGCGATACCTAAACGTAATCTCCCGCTCGCTACCAAGCCAACTTTGACTCGACAGCCGAGTACAAGCTACTCCTGCCACCACTGCCTCATGGGCAAACGTCAACACCGTAATTCTGCATGGTGAACCGTCCGCCCGCCCCTACCGCATTGAAGATTTTGGCGAAGCGCTGCGGAACGCCGTGAACATAAAGAGAAGAAGATCAAGGGCAGGCTATCCGAAATCGACGACGAAGGAGGATTTAATGCATGTAAACGGGAAGAGTTTAAATATTTTCTAAAATAAACGGCCACTGCCTGCTGTATACGCTTTAAAGCGCTCAGCAGAAGGTCGAGGGCGCCACGCTTGTAGATTCGCTGCGTGCCCTTATTAGTGAAAAGGACCAAGACCCAGGAGGTTATGTAGATGACATCAAGGCTGTTAAAAACGAACTTCAACAACTGCTAGAGCAAAAACATTGGGGTGCACCGATACTAAGCAGAGAACTTAAACTGGAGCACGAATATCAACCTTCCAGGGCCTTTCGCTCGTTTAAAAGGGAGAAGTAAGAACACTATCAAGACAGTGATCCACACCGACAAGGTTTGCAGGGGACAACCGGACTTTCCACAGTGACTACGAGGCACTCTTTAACAAGACCATGCCGCTGGCCCAGATCTCTACGGAAATCCTAGACAGTGTGTCAAAGATAATGGAGAAGACCAGCGATGCAGTCAACGAACCGATCACCGCTGCACCGGTCAGTAAGGGCAATTAAGGACCTTCATGTCAACAAAGCCCCTGGGCCCGACGGAATCGTGAGCGAATTTCATAAAACATTATCGGACGAATTAAGTTCAAATCTCGCTCACATTTTTGAAGATACGAGATAACGGAAACTATTAGTTCCATCAATGCGCAGGAGTCACGTAGTTCTCATTGTCAAGAAGATTCAAGACATCAAAGATTCTGCAGGTTTCGGACTTACGACCTATAGGTATATTTGCTCAGCACGGACTAGAAGATTCTCTTGAAGGTAAACGTTCGGCAGCCCTCTGCCTGGTTAGGAGTAGACATGAAGCGAAAAATAGGGACTCTAACCAAAACTTTAATAAACATTTACCCGACGTTTCGGGACCAGTTCGGTCCCTTGCTCACGGGTGAGTGACGAAAAGAACACGTGTCGTCTAAGTGCACATACGGATGTAGGGGGCTTTGCTCACGTCACGCAGTCCCGAGACGTAACTGCTGGGCAGGGAGCCCGAAGAACGATTCACGTTCCCCTTTGTGCGCTGGATAAACCAGGACTCAACGAAGAGCCGCTTTCGCCAATTCTTCTCCAAGGCGTATGTGCACTTAGAGGACACGTGTTCTTTTCGTCACTCAGCCGTGAGCAAGGGACCGAACTGGTCCCGAAACGTCGGGTAAATGTTTATTAAATTTTTGGTTAGAGTCCCTATTTTTCGCTTCATAGAAGATTCTCCAAAAATCATCTGCCGGCGGTTGGAGGCAGGCCCAAGTGAGGTGTTTGGCGATCACCAGAGCTGCGGCTTTAGGTACTGCTCAATGGCCCGGAACGCATATTTGATGAGGATCATCACCGAGGCGGTGGATGCCAGCGACTTTCCAGTGGCCATGCTCCAACTTAACCTCAGCAAGGCTTTTGATAGGGTGGATAGAAGCTTCCTCTTCGCACTGCTGCGGCACTGCGGAGTTGGCGAATATTTGGAGGATTGGCTCACAGCATACTACGAAGATATTAGCATGAAACTGCATGGTCATCAACGGCACTGTTGGAACGTCCATCACTCCTCCACCGCGTGGTGCGTCAGGAATGCGCGCTCTCCCCGATTCTTTTTGCTCTCTACTTGAAACCAGCCTGTCGCATGATACTTCAAAGTGACTCCGTTAACGGACAGCGGCTTGGAAGCCACCACATCAACGTCCTGACGTACGCCGACGATGTGGCTCTCATCGGTTCCATCAAGAGGGAGGTTGAAGCTGCACGGAACGTCGTATACAGGTATTCGGTGGTGTCTCATAGGCGCGTGCACTGAATCGCCAGAAATTTAATGGTTCCTGGCTCGGCGACTGGATAACCACGCCGCCTTCCTTCCTGGGATAAACTGACCGTCCAGCGTTTTCTCTTTTTTCGAGACCAGAGCGACCCGGTCATCAGAGCTGTTTTTCACCATTTGGGAACACCGTGGCAGCGGAACACCGTGGCAGCGAGTTTGCCTCTTCTCCCCTTTATTGTGACCCCTCGTGTGGCTCAACCGAAATTGACGTGCTGCGCCACCATCAAGAGACTTCCACTCCCAACAACATCGGAGGACTCATTCCGCTTTCATACAAGGCTGCTCACCGTTAAAGAGATACTTGAACGAAATTAGGAATATACCCGCCCAGTTCACAATTAGGCTGAATATGATCCACAATATCCGTAACTGACAATCGCACGTTTGTATTTTGAGCCTGATGGCTGTATTTTTTGTTACAAACGGCCCATTCTGGCAAGCGCTCGGAGAAGGCCCAGCTTAGAGCACGTGACATCCGACGCAATTGTGACGTAGGTCGTCTCGGGACGAGCAAAGCTACGGCGAAGCTGACGTCGAGGGGATGGCCTAGTCGTCCCAGCCACAGAAGCGGCTGCTTTTGTACGAATTTTGAGTGACGGGTTAATCTTCTATAATCTTGTAGGGGGTCAATGGCTACTTCTGGAACACAAACAAGGGATTCTCGGGAAGACGGGAGTTCCTCCTTCCTCTCTTCTCTCGTCGTGACCGGAGGCGAGAGAAGAGACTAGCTGTCAAGGTTCCTAGACGAGCATTACAAACGAGGCGTTAGCGACATCCACCAGGTGCTCTTTGCTAATCGTTTCATTCGTTTTAAATCGTTTTCGTGACTTTTTTAACAAGATATTGGTGGGACGAAGAAACCCATGCATGGGTTTCTTCGTCCCACTGAGGCAGAAAGTTCAGCCTCAGCTGGGTATTTAACGTGCACCACGTAGTAGAGCTACACGCACCTGGGCACAATGCTCATCCATGGATATCCAAGTGGGGCCGGTTGTGAGGATCGGGCCGGTTGTGAGGATCCTCTTTGCTGGCGTGAACAAGCGCGTGCAACTACATGGAACTGGAAGCCTGCCAAATGATACATTCACGCGTCCCATGCACGCGTGCTTTTGTGCACGGCTTCTGGCGCGCGCACTTCCCACCCGTGGTTGCCGAAATGGGAAGCACGTGTCGCTGAACAGCCTGCTTAAATGCTCCTCTATTATACGCAGTGGAACGGTACGCATGGGGGTGAGTATACATTTGCATAACATCGATCAAAAAGATACCCAAGTACGTACCACAAAAATGTGTCGACCGTGCGTTTGCGTTTTGCACCCGCGAACTCAAGCAACCGTTTTGTAATCCGGAAAAAAATATAGTTGTTTTTTTTTCTACAATTTTTGCGCAAGTTTGAAAAGGACGTACGTCGTCGATGTCGTAGTGAAGCACGGTGCCGAGGTAAGTGGGCAGCTCGCTGACCAGGACGTACTGCAGCCAGTGGGTTCCGAAGTGTGCCATCACCACGCCGAACACCGGAAGGGAAGTGAAGATCTTCAGCCAGGGTGTGCGCCTAGCCTGGGAAGCGAGCACTTGATGCACTCGAGACGCACTCCTTCGACGCAGATTATACGCCAATGTGCTACATTACAAACAAGGCCGCGGTTTCTCACAGCCGGCGTTGGCAATGCGCGTGCGCACAAGCATCAATTTTCTCGCCGAATTGTAGGTCAAGTGACCTACAGAACATACACACGTGGCCTGACGTCACGTGATCTTAACATTAATTCCGTTTCCTGGCTAAATTTAATGGAATACAAAAAGACGGACGAACACATTTTTGAAATAAAAAAAACCAATAAAAAAAATTTATACTTAAAAAAAAAAACAAAAAAAAAACGACCGTTGGCGTAACACTTTTTGCGACCAATCAGAGCATCGGCATCGGACAAAGTGCGTTGACGCCATCGTGATGGATACCCCCGTAGTCCGAACACATCTTGTGGACGGTGGTCTTTCTGTCACAGCTCAGGCGACACGTGGTCCCAACGGGCCCGGTCTCTTACCAAGGTCGGCTTCTGGTCTCCGAGGTCGGCCTCGATCATGCACACCTCCCGAGCGCTCGCCCAGTGGTGGTCTGCCGGCGTGTTGGACGTGAACAGCGCCCACAGGAGGAACCAGAAGCACGTCCAGATGCCTGCGATCACGACAGAGCGTCCCTGTCTCGGTAAATGTTTTTTGACGACGCGATTCAGGACCTAACCAAAACCAGGTTTGACTTTCGTGTTTAGACAATGTAATGGATGGTTCACACACTTGCGACTGCTTACAACCGCTTACGACGACTCTGATCCCGTGGCGCCATCTATGAGGTGACCCTGAAATCTGCATTTCACTAGAACGAAGGTTTTTTTCAGTATTTACCAGATCAAATGTTCGTACTATAGAAGAGAAATGGTCGCTTATAACAATTTGCTACAAGTTTTCAAGTCAATAGTGAACACACGAACACCTCGCTCGCAAGCGTGTTCTCTCGTCGTGAGAGGTTCCAAGAGGTCGTAACGCACTCGGTCGTAACTCGTATGCAGTCGCAAGTGTATCAATGAGCCTTAAAATCGTGGTGGTTTAGTTTTGGCGGCTGTCGAGTGAACTCGAGTTAGGCTGCTCATGGAACACGCGTGTCAAAAACATAGTTTTACGCGAGAAAAAAAATTTAAAGCAATATTGACGGCGCGAGACAGGATTTAGTCGGTAGTCTCCCCCTTTCCACTTGTTTTCTCTCTCTGCATTTCGGGCGCGTGGAGGCAAGGGGAGGAGAGATGGATCGGCTTCGCCTTCACGTTGAGGTGGACAGAGCGAATGATCACATCGGTGCACATCGCATCGGTGTATATGCAGCCGAAAGAGTACAGTTTCATTAACTGCACTTTGTTGTGATACTGAAAGATTTATGGCTTGTGAATATTGCTATTTTAACTTTTGTATAACTATTCATGTTCTTCATTTCCAACTTCTCCCCCCCCCCTACTGTAATGCCCCATGGCGCTGTAGGTATCTGAATAAATAAATAAATAAACTCTATCTAACTTGTATATATTAACGCAACGTTTTTTTCCTTTCCTCGTTCGGATTGTGCTTTTTGAACAGGCGGTGGGCGGGCTGTATCTGCTGATTTGGCGGTACACCGTGTTTTTTGTTGAGACGAGACTACGGGCGTGCACGGCGACAGCAAAGTTGGAAGCATTCAATAAACTTCAGTTGCCAGTTAGCGCTTGTCCTGTGTGCTTCGTATGTTTGTCCCGTCTTTTTTGCGCTATTTTTAATATGAACGAATTATCATCTCGTTGAGCGAATGACCATTCCGTGACGTCATGCACTTTGCACGCAGAATTTAAAATAAATCTCTCGCCGACAATACTGCTCTAAAAAAATGATTTTTTGACATGCGTGCCCCATCTAGATTGTTAAAAAAGAACATTTTTTTTTCTTTTCAGGGTTTTTTTTAGGAACTCGATAAGATAGCTAAACATATAAACCCCCGCTCGTTCCCAAGCCGTGCAAGCGTATCTGCGTGACCACTCTTCCGGCTGCCAAGCGCATCGGACATTCGAACCACGGGCTCCAGTGGAGCGGAGATAGCGACCTTTACCAACAGCCGAAACAGGATCGAAGATAAGAAATATTGTGACGAATGACAGACGATGAGGCAGAGTAAAACGGAATGAAGATTTAATGGGGGGGGGGGGGGGGGGGCGAACTTGTGGGCTAGAAACGAGAAGGAAGAACACTCGTCGAGAAAGCAGCAGGGAGCGTCGACGGCGGCAGCAGCAGCAGGCCACGGTACGTCAGCGGAACAGCTGGCTATCGCGAGAGAGAATCAGCCAATGAATCGGCAATACGGCGCACGGCTCTTTATCTGCTATGCTCGTCATCTCGAATATTCGACCTAGAATGTTCAGGAAAGAGCTAGGGCGAGAGGGACAAGGCAAGGTCACTCTGGCCTCCTTATCGTTTACGGTCGGGGTAAAAGTGTACCCGAATCTTGTAGATCAGTGGTTCTCAACCATTGATGTTTCGCGGATTCCTTGTGGATCGGCGCAGATGACGGAGGACCCCGTTCGTGACCGGGGAAAAGGAAAATTTATAGGTTAATTATGATAATGATTTAATAGTTGGATATTGTTGGAAGTTGGAAGAACCATCATACATATCGCCGCGCACCGATTATCCACTAAAAGTAGGAATCCCCTACTGCATCACGTCCACCTTTTATGCTTCCTTCCTACCCCTGACCCCCGTCGACTGGAATCGCCTTCCCGCATCCGTAGGCTCACTTACTGACGCTGATGATTTTACTTTGTTTTGTTTTTTTTGCGTTCACTTTATATTTATGTATAATTCCACTCCTCTCTGTAATGCCTTCGGGCCCTGAGAGTATAATAAGTGAAATGAAATGAAATAACTAAGGGCTAGTGTGAAGTAGACTTCTCTTATTGACATACACACGAGAGACCATGCCCGAAAATTGGAACGTTTCTTCTCAATCTGAGAAGAGACAACTTTTATTGCCGGGCTTGACTGATGAGGCAGGGCTTCGAGGACCCCCATTAGAGAACAGCTGTTCCAGATGAAGAGTATCTTCTCGATCATGCACGCGTCAATATCAGGTCATCTTGCCGACATTGTTACTGGACGACATTGCTGCAAACACCGTGCTTTTGTACGGCGACATACGAGCAAGGTCCTACAAGGTCGAAAATTTTTGGGATGCCATTGCCTGGACTGCTACAGCTGGAACGGAAAAAGATTAGCTCAAGTGCCCGACGATCGGAGCAGCAAAATCGCGTCATGTGGCGCTGTTGTTCCCGAGCGCGCCGATAGTGAGAGTGCCAGTCACGTTCCATGTCTCAACACGGGGGTGGCCGGCAGAAGACGGCCTATCCTAAACCTTCAGAAAATGAATGCAGCGCTAAAGACGACGGACCGGATGAAAGTAGCCACAGACAGAGCGCTCTGTCTGTGTCCTGAGGTCGTGGCCTTGGGGCGTACCAATTCAACTACGTCTGGGGAGTGACTCTCAAGTTCTCAACGGTTCGGAGGCCGTGAAGCGGCTGCTCGCCGTTCCCGAGCAGCAAGTGACAGGGCATCGTTGCCTAATTATTGATCCGGTAAACCAACAGATTAGGCTCAAGCTGCACTGAGTACTGCGCGGCGTCGATAATGACGACACCCGGACGGCTTTCGCGGCCTTCGGAAGGTTAACGGAAGTCACCCGGGAACGCTGGCGCGTACACGACGTCAACCAGAAAGAGTCGACAACCAGGACAGTCCTGCTGAAGCTAGAGACCGGGATAAAGGTAGACGACCTGCCCCAACATCGCTGGTGAGTCAGCCCTCGTGCTGGTTCCGGGCAGAATCATGCAGTGCCTCCACTGCCACGGAAACGGGACATGTCCGACGGGAGTGCAAGGCGCCGCGCTGCTCTCGGTGCTGGAGGTTCCGGAGACGACCCGGAGAAAAGCGACGCAGACCGCCCATCGGCTGCCGGCAGACCGGCCATCGGCCGAAGCGCGGCGTTTAAGCGGAACCACACCGAGGTCACGTACGAGGACAAGATGGCGATCACCAAAGCCGAGGAGTCGCCGTCCAAAGAGGTTCTGGTGAGAAGGCCGGGGCTACGACTGAGGTCTCAAGTTCCTACAGCGCGGAGGGTTGCAGAGGAGCCACCCGAAGCGCAAATCCCAGTCGAGTGTGCCGCGGAGGGGGTGTGTGCTCCCGGGCTCTTCTCCTTGAAATAACGATGGCTTTAAATGGGTCTCTGAACTTTGCAATACTAAACGTCCGTGGGCTGGCCTATAAAAGAAGGCAGAACCAGCTGTACAATCTGCTGACTTGGTCATCGAAGTTCTCGCAGTTCAGGAGACGAAGGTGGACGGGGAGAAGGAGACGGAGGGTATGGTGCAACGTTTCAAGTCGCGCTACTTTGCGTGCCCGACGAAGGTCGGCTGGCTGTGTGCTGTAAGAAAGTCGCCAAGTCTTGTGCAGGAAGTGAAGTTGCCTAGCGGGTAGATTTGTGGTCTGCGGCTTTCTCTACGGTTCGATTGAGTGGCATGTAGTTTGTTCGTACGCATCAAGTCCAGCCTATGACAGAGCGGTATTTTTTGAAAATATTAGGCAGGACATTAACAGAGAAGAGACAACTATTTTAACGGGACATTTTAATTGTGCCTTGTCTTCACGAGGTAAAGCTAGCACGAGGGCCTATCGGGACGCGAGTACCGACTTATTAACACCAGCAATTAACGAACATAACTTAGTAGACGTAGAGGGCACGGGAAGTACAGTACGCCCATTTTCAGGACAAGAGTCAGGCCCGATTGGATAGGATTTATGTCGTGCTGTCGGTTTTTCATTTGTCCCAGTCTCAAGTTTTCTTTCAATCGTGCTGTCCGTTTTTTTTTTTTATTTGTCCCAGTCTCAGGTTTTCTTTCAATGATGTTTCCTAACACATCGCCTGCGTGCTTTCCCTCCTCGCAATTTTGTAAAGCGACCGGTTTTGTGCAGTCTCTTCCACACCGATTTGTGCGACTTGTGACTTGTCTACTAGGATAGGGAAGCACGTAACTTGTGACCTATCGCCGAGTTGCCACGCGGCAGAACCAATCAGCGGCGCCTCGGAAGTGACGTAAGTGCGCCTCGCTTTTGTTTACACCCGAACTTCTGTACGAAAAGCAGAAACCAACATGTCCGCCCACCGCCTCGGTTCGTAAGAGCGGCCGTGGATACAGAGCCACGGAGGTCTCCGCGGCGGCGCTGGTCAGCGCTATTAAAGAGTACCCATTTCTTCATAAACAAAGCAGCTCCGATTTGAACGAGTACCCGAAAAATAACTCGGCCTGGCAGCAAATCCGTGCCACTTTTGTCTTGACAGGTGCTACGGACGCGGTAGCTCGAGCGAGTGCGCGCCGATGTAGGGATTGTGCTTCTTTGCAAGAAACCGCAGGTCAACATAACGAGTATTTTCTCAGGTAAGAACAACGACGCGTGTGTAGCTGTGAGACGACTCAAATAGATACTCGGCGAAACGCAAACCCGGGCTGCGGGGTGCGCGGAATCGACGGCGGCTCCCGACAGCTTCCAAGAAGCGACTCGCCATTGCACGCAGTGTGTACGTCGGTGGTCGCCTGCCGCCAGCCGCAAGTGTGAACGCGCCTTCTGGGTAAATGAGCAGAAAGAGAGGGAGAGAGACCTACCGAAGACGTAGAAGACGGACGGCCAGCCGCCCAGGAAGTCGGTGGACGAGAGCAGGCCCGAGATGTACATGCCGACGGCCACCCCGAAGAAGCCTCCGGTGTGGATGAGGGATACGGCCGTGGCGCGCTGGTTCACGGGGATCCAGTGCGCCACCTGCGCCTCGATGGCCGGATACGTGACACCCTGCGCCAGACCACGTGCTCGAGTTTCCGAAACTTGCAGGAATAGACTACGCATCGCCGAACGCCCAGTTTCCATCCACACGTTTAGCGCCAGGGGTCCGGACCTATACGCCAAAGTTTCAGACCTTGCCGTTATCTAATGCAGAACATTATAAACAATTCATTATTATTTCATTGGGAAAATTTCGGCGCAGGTGTTTGGCAGCCAGCCAAATCTCGTCGACAGTGGCCGCCGTGGCACCCTTCACTTCTCAAGGTTATATAAAAGTTAGCTTGAATTTAAAAAAAAAAAAGTGCACATTGGAATGTAAATTAAAACAATTATAGCATTCATATTAGATGTGTTTAGTATCGTTTTAAACATATCAAATGTTGTACAAGATATTTGATAAGTTCATTTACTTTTGCACTTTAAATTTGCTGATGTCCAGCGCTGAACAAAGCTTCGCCAAGCTGCAACAGCAGCTGTTTTCTCTCACTCCCTTGGTCCCTTTTTAGTGGAAATAAACACACACAAAAAAAATTATCCACATTAATCCTAAAGCCGAGTTTTTTTCCCCGCATGTGAGAAAAAACCCGACACTTTTCCCCGCAGATTTCTAGTATTTGTCTCACAAAATTTTTCATCACAGCACTGTACTCGGAAATCAATTGAGAACAACCCTCCATCGTTTGTTTCTGTACGCTTCGATGACCGTCACAAAGTATAGCGTTCCATATTGCCATTATAACAAATAATTTGCTTCATTTATTCCTAGAGTTTCGAATGATTGGAAGCATCTACCCGCATCACTTACATTATGGAATTGTTGATTGTGTTCTTTTTTGTTCAAACGTTTCAAACCATGTACTCCTTGTTGTTTAGCTATTTTGTACCCTCCACTGTTATTTTGTTTGTTTTATTTTTTTTTTACCCCGAGGGTAAATTAAATTAATTAATCTCCCGCACGCAAAGTTTTGCCTCAGTAACTCAGTTAATTGATGTCTAAAGTACTCCGACCTACGACGTATTTTACCTAATGTACTTTTCGAGCCACGTTACTGTACAGTGGCACCCCACTTCGCATCCTGAGGTCGCTCTTTTTGTGTGGCCTTACTCGACTTATGTTTATTCGGAACTGTAACTTCCTTGCTTTCACAGTCGTCGAGGAGCCAGTTCATTTGAGATTTTAAGATCCCAGTGTTCGCACACGAAGCGCGAGGTTTAACGACGCATAGATTCGATATTCTCTAATAACGAAACACACCAAAACGAAAATCGCCAAAAAAAAAAAAATTGTTTCTCGCATTGGTCTGTAATTGTGTTGCTACGTGAAACGTCCTTGGTTTAGCGCCTCCGTTCCACGATAACTTGGTGAACTGTGGATGGTGCAACCCCCGACACAATGCGAGCGTCGGAGCAAGGCACGCGATAACACTTCATGGTCGAGTTACCGCCACAGCAATTGTGCCGTCCGCGACAGAATACCGTAAATTCCCGAGAGATGCCCCACCCCCGAGAGATAGCCCACCCCTATTTTTGGCTTGATTTACTATGTTTTTTTAAACACTAAGAGATAGCACACTCTATAGTAATAGTAATGTTGGGATCAATGATGGTTTCGGCGTAAATGAGGCTAGTTTGCTATGGCGGGATATAAGCGATCGTTGCTGAATGGAAATTGCAGCCAACTTTGCTTCGTTGCCCCTCGCCACCAGAACAAGTTTGGAAGGAACGCGACCTTAAAATAGCTTTTTTGTTAACTTTTCTTCATTGTACACCGAAAGTTAGCCCACTCCATATTTTCAGCCGATTTGCTCTCGGCGTTAGGTGGGCTATCTCAAGATTTTACGGTAATTCCAGGCCTTTTTTTTTCTTTTTTGTTTTCTAACGTCAATTGAATTTGCGCGATTCCATCTGTATCTAGAAAATAGAAGAAAAAAGAAATCAATGATCTCGAATTTATACTTAAATAAAAAGTGACTCCACATCCGCAACCGCTGCCAAATTTTTTTTTTTTTTGTAGCGATGTGGTTGTTGGCGATTTCAGCCGTGCAATTGACCGTTTCCGCTCAAAACACCGCACTGGGCCCTGGCATTAGGGAGTGTTCGTGACGTGAAGTTACGTGACATTATTTTCCCCGCTAAAATTAGCGGGGAAACTGATTTTGTGTAGAGGTCACGTGACGCCAACTTTCCCGCTAAATCTAGCGGGAAAACTGAATTTTCGTATAGGTCACGTGACGTCAATTTTTCCGTTAAATTTAGCGGAAGAAATTCGCGGTTACGCTTCTTTTTTTTTAGGCTTCATTTCACCCGAAAAACCGAGCATAAACGTTTTACGTTAAACCAAATTACATGCCATCAAAAAGTGACACCACAAGACAAAACCATAAAAAAACATCGTCACTGATGACGTCATCAGTGATGATGACGATGCGGATGCCGATGACGTCATCTGTGACGTTACTGATGACGTCATCAGTGACGTCACGCATCCCATAATGCACCGCGCGATTACGCCGACGCCGACGTCGCTCAAGCAGGAAAAAGCGTCTAAGAGCTGCGCTCTAAAAAAAAAAAAAAAAAAAAAAACTGCTTAGTTGGGAGGGGCAGGGAGCGAACTAATGGAGTTAAAAAAGCAAGCGAGCTCGTGCGTCTCCTACCTCTCCGATGCCCTGGAGCACTCTGACGGCGACGAGGTAGCCCTGGCCAGCGTAGGCTGCGGACGGGATGGCCAGAGACAGGAGGCCCGTAAAGAGGGTGCCGAGGCCGAAGAGCCACTTGGCTCCGAAGCGCTCGGCCATGCGGCCCCCCGGGATCGGGGTCACGATGTAGCCGTAGAAGAAGGCCCCCAGCACCACCCCCTGCGCCACGGGGTCCCAGGCGAACGGACCGTCCTGCACGAGATACGCCGGCCGTTTTCAACCCCCTTTGGGAAACGCTAACGCTGGCCCCTTCACTGGCTTTCTCTTTTGCTTCCTCTTGCTGCCTTCTTTTTTGGCGTCGTCATAACGTCATTGTTAGTGTTTTCCAAAGGAAGACGTGTGTGGCATTTCCTAATGGTCAGGCTTACGGATTTCCTAAGAATACACCAATGGATCTTCCTATAACTCCTATCACACCTTATTTGTACTCTGCCTGTCGGACTACGTCGACGCTCTTTTATACGGTTATCCATATCACTTCTGGAAAGAACTAGGGTGCCTTCATATGCGCTTCGCACAGAGTGATGCCAACTGTCTGTTTCTCTTTCCCCCACCCTCTTCCACCGTCATTTTGTTCCTCTCATTGTTTCCCCGTGCGCCGGAAAGTCGCCTTTGTGTCCATCGTTCCTCCCATCCGAGGGGGGAAATGCTAATCCTCCCTCCGTGGGTTCCACAACGCTGCTCTGAACTTGTGAGATAAGGTGCTTGTTTCCGGGAGGGTTATAAGCCCCACAGATTATCGCCGAGAACTAAAGTGGCTGCTGGTTTTTCGGCGAATGGTATTACGAAGGGTGGCATCACCCGAGCAAAGCGCACATGAAGGCTCCCTAGAAAGAACCACATCCATACCACTCGTGGAAGGAACCGTATTCTAGAGGGAAACTCACCCATCGTTTTAACTACACACACACACATCACAGCCCACGCATCGCTACTACGGAAACCCAGAGTGAAGAACAACCGGCGACGGCAGAGCAGCAACTGAGCACGTCCGCACTCGACCGTGCCGCGGCGCAACACCTCCTAGATAACAAAACCGCAGTGCAGAATGAGATGGCATCGTCAGAATAAAAAAAAAAGAGAACAACGATGGGCACAGGTTGGACGCGACGATTTCGTCAAGGTTCGGCTCAAACTTGACTCGAAGCCGAGCGCTGACGTTCCCAAGTCGTATTCAGCGTTGGCCTTCTCTGATGACGCCATCTCATTCAGCACTAAGGCTTTGTCAACTACGAGGTGTCGCGCGGCGCCTCCACCTCTCTGACTGCGCGCAAGCTGAGCGCGTGATTTTGACGAAAACGAAAGGTCTTGTTTCGACAAAAACCCGGCGGTGTCTGTCAGTATGTCAGCGCCGGGCAGAGAGGGAGAGGTTGACGCGTGCTCACGTCAGCGCTTCGGACCAATGGGAGCCTCGCCACCGTCACCCGCCCCCCTTCCTTCTCCCTTTCTTCCACGCTGACAAACGAAGGACACCGCCGGGTTTTCCTCAAAACGAGTAGTCGCATTAAAAAAAAAATAACAAGGAAAAAAAAATGATAATTTAGAACGCGTTTACAGGTTTCAGTTTCCCATCGGAGCGCACCATAAAAATACGTCATCAAGCTCAAGGTCAAAGCAGACGCGCCTTAGACATTAAACACAAAGAAAAGCATACGTTTATTAAAAAACGCTTTAGTTATTTGCTTTATTTATGGCGGCGATAAGCCCCCTATGTAAGGTCCCCCTCTCCACGGAGGCGAACAAAAATTATTATGATTTCGATCGTGAATTAAATTATTTAAATCGTGATTTAAAGCATACCAGTTTTATTATGATGATTTAAATAAAGCCTTTCCTACAAAAACAATATACTATTTTTGTTCACTCTCTGTGTATATTTTAATGATTTCTATGTGCATTTGTTTTCTATTTAAACTTAGAAGCAACTCACCAATCAAATAAATAAATATATATATATATATATACATATATATATATATATATTAAGGCTGAAGACATGCAAAAAGAAGTTATTTTATGAGCGAATTGGAGCGTTGAGCTTGATTTTCAATTGCTAGCAAATTAGAACGTGAAATAAAAAGCAAATAAAGCTTTTATCTACCTTAAAAATCAAGCCATTTTGGTTTTAGTGATGCTGTAGGTTTACATCAATAAAAGGTTCATAACTAAATTGTACTTTAGGTTACAGTAACTCTTTCTTCCGCGCTGTTATCAGTGATCGGACGGATTGATAAATCAACTGCCACGTTTAAAATTACATCAAGTAATAATGAAGGGCTATTTTTTAGCTACAGCGAGTTAAATTAATCTGATTTAAACCAAATAAACCTAATTTAAATCAAATACATTTGACTTAAAAAAATAAATCCGATTTATTATTTTTTAATTATTATTTTTCTCACCCTGCCCTGATCACGCCGAGGCCGAAGCTTGAATGGCACAGACAACAGCCTAAATAAAAACACTCATGTACCACCAATCTCTCTAAAACCACCAATTGTTCTCTTTCTTTTTCTCTTTTTCACTCGCGTACCCACTAATGAAGCGTTTCGAGTCACAAGCGGTTTGAACGGCACCTGCCGCTGTAAATGTCAAGGGTGCTTATCAACCTGTCACAGGTATACAGAGTTACGTCTTGACATTCCCAAACGTATAAATCCATCGCCCTAAAACATAGCTCTGCAGGCGAAAGTTGGAGCTCGTTACACGCTGGAGCCCAGTTTTCCGGCTGAGTGCGCAGGAGACGACAGCATCGAACCGCACGAATTCCGCCGCGTAGAAAAATAAACTGCGCATTGCCTTCCCCAGAAATAGAATGTAGCGCTAGCGGATAAGGGATGACGTCAAGGATTGAGAGCCTTATGGTGTCGGGGTAATAAGTCGGAAAAAAAAAAAGTTTTTTTTTTCTTTTGTCTGTTGAACACAGGCTGTAACTTTCCAACTCTATACTGTATCATACTTAGCGTGCAACGCTGTCAAATCTACTGGCGCCAAAAGTCAAATTTGGGGGTTTTACGTGCCAAACCAACGACGGGCATCTGGCACGCCCCAACGGAGGACTGAGGATTAATTTCGACCACCTGGGGATCTTTTGACGTGCAACCGAAAGCTCGGTTACACGGCGCCTTCTCCGCAATAAGCCTCCGTCATATTGCGGGCACCTCGGTCGGGATTCGAACCCGCCACCTGGGGATTACTGGCGCCAACGCGTGGCTTCATCTATACGGGTTTGCTTGCGCGAGAACGCCTGCACATGGTCAACGAGATCAAGCCCCACGCTCGTGCCAGTAGCTTTGACAGCGTTGCACGCTAAGTGTGAAACAGAGTACTCTTTCGCTTAAATTAAAATTCAAGCGCGCAGCTTTGAAGTCGAACAGTTACAGCTTGGGTTAATTTCTTTTTTAACTAAAAGTTACGTTTGAAGCGATTAATAAGATCATTTATCTTATACATTATTGTAAGTCTCAGCCTGAGCATTTAAACACGCGACCTTGCCTGCATTCTAAGCAACTTTTTTTTTTGTCATCTTATCGTGGCAATGATATGTGATACGCATTAGCGAAGTTCCTCTTCGTATAGGTTCACTGCGTCGACACTTTCCGTAGAAAACGAAAAGAGGCAGCACCACTTCCTTATTGTATAGTATACAGTCGTCGTGTTGTATATTTTATTGTTTATGCACCCTATTAATGTGTATAATAATTCTATAAATCAACCATGAATTACCAAATTAAAAAAAAACTAAGCTATAGATATATGGTGTGTGCAGCTGATTGGATTTGAAGATAAATGTTGTAATGTTTCGGTGAAAAGTGTATCAGTTGTACTTCAAACATTCACTCCTGCTTCGGCCCCAAAGGGGCTGGAGCAGTATAGATAAACAGAGTACACGAATAATGAAACAAAGAGGACGCTGCCATAAAAAGCGGAGCCCACGCACGTTGCTAGCACGTGGGTATACCGCATGCAGAATTTTTCGCAAGTAGCGGCAGTCCGCGACACTGCTTCCTCCTTATCTCACGGTCCAGGAAACCCATCTGCAGCATTGATCGTCATCTCCACATAGACTCGCACACCGATACGAAACCACATCGCAGTCGCGTCAGCCGTACACGAGTTACGTGGGCTCCGGATGACGAAAAGTACAAACGACACACACACCGCATTCTACGCGCCTGTACATGTTGACATCACCACCCCGTGATCAGGGACAGTTTCTTTTATCAGTGGGCCGTGGCCCGAACCGGTGACAGTTTCCACTCTGCATGTGGTGATTTGTTATTAGAAAATATATAACGATACAACCTAAACCACAAAAAAAAAATGTTTGCTTGTTTCCAAGCGAACGTTTAACTTTTTTCTTTTTTTTTTTTTTTTCACGCGGCATAAACAAATAACACGGTTGTGGGTAAGTAGTTGTGTTGTGTCAACTGAATGTACGGGCGAAAACGAGCTGGTGAGTACTGGGCATGACCAAAAACCCTAGACTGCGGGTAAAAGACGACGCACACACTAAAAGGTATATTTTAGTGTACGTGGCCCTTTTTAGTATATGTGTCGTCTTTATCCGCAGGCTCGGGGTTTCGCCACGTTTGTGTTGCGCGTTTGTTTAGGCAGGGGAGCGTCTGGCAGCTCGGCCGTTGCGCTACAAGTGAAAGGCCGACGACCATACTCGAGATTCTGCAAGGCAGAAGATCCTCCTCAGCGTGGGGTAGAAGGAAACGGGCAACGGTGGACAGGATAGAAGGAGGGAGAGGAGGAAGCGAGAGAAAAGTGGAAAGCGCGAACTGGTCGTCGGTTTTTACGAAAACCTGGACAATCTCCTCCCACGAAACGCTCCACTCTCGTCACTTTGTACCGGGGCGAACGCCGGAGAGGTGGGGAGACGAGGCCAGGAGGCACTCGCCTCATCTTCGGCCTACGCCCCGCTACTCAGTGGAAAAGGTGGAGGGTATCGCGGGGAAGACCTTGTGCCGGGTATTTAACGTGCATCACGCAGGGGTGACACTACACGACCGCACGCCGGTTCGATGCTCGTCCAGATAGAAACGGGGCAAGGGAGGGGACCGAGTCCCGGGACCAATGGGTTCTGGAGCGCGCGCTTTCGCTTCCAAGTGCTCCGAGCTGTGGTGCGCTATCCGCGCTACCCGCCCGGCTACCGATCACCCACACTAAAGGTCCTTGTGGCGTTT